ATATCATAAAACGCCAATTTTGTGGCAGTATTTGTTGAAATATTTTTGTCATAAATGGCATCCATAGATGACACTCATTTTTATATTTTTTGTGCAATTTTTTTCAAAATGTGCTGAAAAACGTGATATAATGTTGTTTTTGGTGGCATCCAGACCGGCCCTTAGAGGTTTATATTATGGATCATACATAACACCTAGAGAATATTTATGGTGTTCAGGCAAGTCCGAAAGATGCAGTGGCGTGTACTCAACAGAATGCCCTCGCGACTCGGCCATGGCCACCACAACAGGTACGATGTTTCACTCGAAGTGTTTGACAAGTTTTTCCCATAGAACATTTTTTACTTCGTACGCGTTGTAGGGGATACCATAGCGATCGCAACTATCGCGCAGACGTGACTTGGCCCAGGCATACTTTGGAGAACCGTCGGGTAGGCATTTATGGCATTTTGCGTTGACCATGACGATAACGACGTTCCTTTTCCCCAGTGCTTTCAATTGGTGAGCAATGTGCCAAACCAGTCAATGAAATATGCATGGTTGAACATGGCGTGGTAGTCTTTGGGCTCTTTGCGTCGTATTTTCCTCCCTTGGAAAATGTCGAGGGCAAGTAGTTTTGAGTTGTCCACTCTGTCGTCTAGTATCGCTCCTATTGAGCAATATCATTATTCCTTGTATTTTGCTTTTACTTGCAGGACTTATTCGTCATTTGGATCGTTTAAACAATTTTGATGACGAGCTTAGTGGTGGTGGTGTACATAAGACTCGTCCAGGTACACAACAGGCGGTTGACACCATAATCGCAATGTATTTATCACGGAGCATTGCATTTGTTTCGGCAACACATAGGTCAATTGACCTTTTTTGCCCCATTCGAAGCAGACACGGACCAAAAATCGGTGCACAGTACGACATACTGACACCATTGCGTGGGATTGTCGGGGTCGACATCGACAATGTTGTTTTTTGTTGTAAATCTAACACTCTTGTGCGTATCCGTTTCAAGCGGCGGTCCCGAACAAGGGACTAGACGAGCGAGATCACTTTTCTTGTCGTAGGAATGCGAGTTGTATGCATTGTTTATTGTAAGGTGTCGGAGCCACAGCGACGGTTGCTATAGCGTTATATGTGCGCTATACTTCTCTCACAACTTTTGTGCTCCGGTCGATAATACGTGCAATATGGCCGGAAGCATCCTCCATGCCTTAATGTCGAAAGTGAGCTTGAAGACGTAAAATATCGAGACCGTCTGCATTAGTTAGGATAGGTGGGCGACTGTGCTTGACGAACCCACAGATCTTGTCAAACTCGGCCGTGGCAATCGTTTGTAGTGGTTGGACCATTTTGTGGAATGATAAACATTGACAGGATAACCGCAATGGTACATAAACACGTGAACTCATATAGATTAATACTTTTGTGAAATCGATTTTCATGACAAGATACGAGATATCAGTACAATCCAGTCAAATTGGCAATCATTCACATCTTTAGACTAGAATGTTTTAAGGGGTACTAGTATTAAGTTAAGAAAAAATTCGTTAGTATAGTTCGTATCAGTTCCTCAACGAACTGCATCGATTAATGTATCCCATGTCCACAAGACCTCGCTCCGTCCTTGTGTACGAGTAAACGACCTCTGGTTGATGCCCACCACTGTAAACGCAACTCTAAAACACGACAATGGGAAGACAAGGCACAAAGGCCCCATTTTTCATACAAAAACGAATTTCTTGCATTTATGAAACATGTTCGCCGCGAGAAGCACATCTTGACTTCGACCCACATGGTCAACTTGATGAAGAACTACTACACGGATGGACTGCGCGGCTGACTATACAGCGACAAAACGCGGCGGCTGCATGTCCAACTTCAAGCTGTGTCAGGACTTCGCAAAACCTCATCATTTTCGTCATCGTATCTTTTGTCCTTTCCATCTGCTCACAGAGTATATGGACGGGATCGAAATGAAATCTCTGCCGAGTTCTGTAGTTCAAAGTACTCGACGAACGACAGCCGCGACATTTTGAACGTCGAGGAATCAGCACTGATCTAACACTGATCTGGGACATGTACTTTGGCGCAATCATCGTGCAATTTCACACTTTTGAATGCACACCTTTTTGAGGTTGTGAATACTGTGTCCAAGTCAAAACGTGGCAAATCGTTTCAAAACCCGCGACGTTTCGGTTGCTATTTATACTATATATACTTGATATTTGTATATGATGGTAATATTGACGTGTTAAATATTTTTAGGATGGGACAGGAGGGGGCCAATGAATTCGATACCCTCCGAAACATTGTTCGAATCGGTTCGATTCAAGCAGGATGGAACATGCGACGGAAGCCCCCAGCGCGGGCCATGAAGGGTACATTGTGGCACTGACGCCGCGAACAAGCCTCATCTCTAACCAAGATGCAGAGAAGGAGCACACGAACATGGAAACGGAGCCAGTCGCGAGCAAATGCCGCCTGTGGTGCGCAAACCCGAGCGTCCTAATCCTCATTGGATGTGTGCTTGGAGTCATACTGGGCTACCTGCTCGGCCAGTATGGTGCATCCAAGGAGCTCCTCACTTGGATAACGTTGCCAGGAGAATTGTTTTTGCGAGCTTTGACGTGCGTCGTGGTGCCGCTAGTGTTTGTCAACATCTTCCTCTCCGTCGTTGATATGCTCCGAGCCGGCCATGCGGCCAAGAGCGGGCTCTACACGCTCGGCTTGTTTGGTCTAACGACGGTGCTGGCCGTGCTTTTGAGCATCTCGTCCGTGTCAATCTTCAAGAAGTGGTTCTCCCACGCATCATCAACTTCGAAGAACGCCGTGAATGCGGGGCAGTCCTGGCATTGCGGAAACACGACGGACCTGTCCGTCCAGTGGTTTCAAAATGGCACGATTTTGTGCAGCACGCCGTCCGATGCGTCGTCGCCGCTCGTCCTTCCTAGTCCATCCGCCGCGCCTCCTCCGTCTTTGTCCAAAACGGTGCAAGATCAGATATTTCGCGCCCTCGTTCCCGACAACATTGTGCAGCAGTTCGTCTCGGGCAACTACCTTGGTACCATTTCCGATTCCATTTCATGTTTCGACGGTGTCATCGTACGTACGTTCGGTTTTGCGTAGGCATCATGGCAATTGCTACCATGTTGGCGTTCTCTTTGGACAAAGTTTCGCCGCGCCCTGTCGGCATCGTCCGTGTTTGTGAAGAGCTCAACGCCATGCTGCTCGTGTGCATCCGACTCATTATCGACATCACTCCCATTGCAGTCTTCTCGCTCGTCGCCGGTGGACTCGGCGCGACAAGCGATTTGACGGCGGCGCTCTCGGACGTTGGCATTTTTCTCGTCTCCTTCCTCGTTGCGGTACACCCCCCTCCCTTCTGCATTGCGTTGTGTTGATTTCATGTACCGTGTGGCTGTACGATGCGATGATTTCTCCGCGTCGTATCCCGACATGACGTGGTGTATAGATCATGCTCCACTACTGGGTGACCCTAATGGGCATTCTTTACTTGGTGCTTCGGACGTCGCCGATTCAAGCCATGAAAACGTGCTGGCCAGCGCAAGTGTTTGCATTTTGCAGCGCTAGCTCGGCCGCGACGCTGCCCATCACATTAAAATGCGGCGACCAAGCGAACGTGCCCGCAAGTTTGGCTTCATTCATCCTGACCATGGGCGCCACCCTCAACATGAACGGCACGTCCATCTACTTTCCTTGCGCCGTCATCTATTTGGCCGTGTCCACTGGAGATGAAGCGAACTTTACTGTTGTGTCGTACATTTTGCTGGGTCTATTGAGCTCCATGTCGGCGGCGGCCGCCGCGCCTGTTCCGTCGGCTGCGCTGGTCCTTGTCGTCCCGATGTTCAACGCCGTCTGCGGTATGCGACCATTCTTGTGTGGTTGGGATGAATTGACATGATCATGCAGGCACGGCCAACGCGCCAACACCGGCCAACTTTTCGTACTTGCTCGCGATGGACTTTCTCCTCGATCGATTTCGCACGTGGCTCAATGTGTCTGGAGATCTCGTCATTGCCCAGTGCGTGGCGGCGATGGACTGCGCGGCCAAGAATGCGCCAAGGCGGGTGTCCGATTCGACCGATGAAAGCGACAGCTCTGTCTAGGCCTTTGACTCTATTTACAATATTCATGCGATGGTAGCCCCACAGGACAGTTCTGAAGCGTGAGCGAACGAGTCGGCTTTTTTCAGGCGTCGCATGATCGATGCAAATCATTTCAGTCGGCCGGATCTCGTCGTCCACCTCCAGCGTCGGCAACCAGGTCCCTTTGCGCGATTTCCCACCAGTTGCACTTCCCTGACAATACTCCCGGCATACCCCCATTCCATCAGCCTCCTTCACGCCGCACGCCTCCAGATACACTATCGGCATGGCAGGATATGACAAAAGTGATGCCACGATGCTTTTGCCGATAACAACATCGTGGGCGCCAATCTCAACACCAGCGCTAAATTTTCAGCAATGCACCAGAGCATGAGTTGCGGGGTCAAGGGGGAATGCCTCCTATGGAATGTAGTAGACAATGCATCTGGGGGCGCGGAGTGGAAATGAGAGGGTGTCGAGGTAGCCGTCGTGTTGAAGGGGGCGAAGCGAGCCGCTGGAAAGTTTATACAAAGTCTTGAGAAATGGATTCATACATCTGCCTGACTACGCCGGCGAGACAAAACTTTGAGCCAAGTGCGTCGACGACCCCATCATTCGCCACGCACACTTGGGCCTTGTTAGAGGCGGCGCTTTTTGGAAGTCTCGTGGCCAGTGCTTCGGTGGATGTCGCACCCGAACGTGTCCATGAGGACCTTGGCCCATCCTGGCACGGGGATCGATCGACGGCCACGCGCCAAGTCTTCCAACACGTCGTAGCAGTATGGACTGAGATGCAGCTTGAAGCTTCGTTTGAACGAGTCGGAGTAGTCGAAAACGCCGCCAAGGCACTCGTTACGATGGACGCACATCATCATTTCAACGTACTCGCGCGCCTTGCGTTCGTTGCGCACGTACTTCCGCGTGTGTGTGTACATGCGCTGGGACGCATGGATTTGCTTGGAAACGGCCTTGGGGCGGCGCTTGGATTTGCCACGGCTTTCTAGGAACGATGCGGGCTCGGCAGTCGGCGGGGGCGACGCCGAGGGGGACGTGAGCCACGACGAGCACTCGCTCAAGAGAACGTCGAGTCCGGTGCCGGCAAAGTCGTACGAGATGCCGGAGCTCGGGGGGTACTGAGAATACGCCAGGTACGATGTCGGGGTGGACTCAAAGAATGGCGCGAGGGGGCTGCGGGGGTCGCCGACGTCGAATGTAGCAGCGCCTGTTGTCCCGTTGTGATACAACATTGACATGGTGCTTCTTGACACTGAGAAGCGAATGGATGTCGTCTTTGGAATGAACGAGTACGGGCCGCACACTCGACGATTGAAGAGGTTCCAATCCGATGGGGGGAAGACGCGGGGGTCGGTGGACCGAGCGCCTTGCGCCTGGCACTTGTAGTAGATGGTCCAAAGCGCGTCGATCATAGACTAGGCGACGTAGTTGAGCCAACCGATTCAGGGACGAGCAAGGCAAGAACATGTGCGTTCTCACATGGTGGAAGAAGAACACGGGATCCGCTGGGGATGCCATCGTGGCCATGGCGCCGTTCAGATTGGCATGGACTTTAGCTAAGGCGACGGTGAGTTTAAAGATGGGGGCAGTGAAGCTCAACTTACGATGCACCTTGTACATGATATTCTGTGTGAACACACTCATGGTCGGAGCAAAGATCTGGTTGCTCAAACTGACCAGCGTCATGTCGGTCGAGACCTTGGCATTGGACCAGTCCCCCCGTGGAATACACCTGCACCAAACACGGTGAGATATCTCCTCGTCGCTTTGAGCGAAGTCGCGTACCCGAGGCACGTGTTCGATTGAAACGCGTCTTCGTGTTGGCAAAAGCTTCGGGTTGCCGGTTGGTCCGGGTCCCGGATGCAGTTGGCCGCGGTCACATTCTCCCTTTCGCCGACGGCCCCGCCAATGGCATACGTCGACGTGTTGACGGCACCGCTGGTACCATAGTCCGCCATGACAGGATTGCAGTCGGCCATCGAGTCGCACGGCACGTTCGGGTCCAAAAAATTGGAGCTTGCCGCCGTGTAGTCCTAGAATGGAAGTGTGATGCACTGGAACTCTTCGCCCAACGACCGGAGCATGTTTTCGTAGCCCCAGAGGAAGCGTCGATGCCAGTACACGAGCATGCAACTGTGTGCTTCGTACTCATTCCGGTAATACTGGTGGACGGCCACGAATCGATGGTGATGGCCCAACTGCATGGCTACATCACAACTGCTGAGTCCTTTTTCTTCCTCTGTGTGCATGGTGCCAGCGAAAGTCGAGACAGTACCTCTTTCGAACGCCAACTTGAGTGTGATCCTGTCGTCGGCGCTGAGCTTGCTGTACGCCCGACGAACGCGGGGGCCGCACGGCGTCTGGGCAGCAGCCACGTTTGCAGCCACCAGCAAACCCACGGTGAGCAGCGCGAGAACCAACTGGGTTAGGCGCAGCATGGGTCACGGAGGGAATGTTGAGAACTAAAGGACACCTCCCGTCCGTGGCTGCGTCGTAGCCACATCCAAGCGACTTGATGAAGACGATAGACGTGGAATTTCGATGGATGTCCGTTCGGTTTCCCACGTTGACAGGTTTCGAAGGGCAGTTACACGGTGAAACCGTGAGCTTGCCACCTCCTTGCCGCGCTGAGGTTCCGAGTCGCTTGGGGTGGGTGGGTCGATGGAGCCTGTAGAGGTGTGGAAGCAATGCGCCACATCCATTGGGACCTTCCAGATGGCGGAGGTACGCTACTGCGTCGATAAAGCCACCTGCCCACTCGAAGCCGTACTCCGCAGAATCCTGGTTCGTTGTCTGCTCTCGCATTCAAAAGCAGCTATATATCTCTGCAGCGTGTCGTGTGTGCAGGCGGCCCCCACACCTTTGCGCAATGTTGCTACCTCTAGTGGGACCGTGCTTGCTGACCATCCATCGAGTACACTCTGGCGTCTATCCGTCTTCATCGATCATGCTGATTGCTGTAGCCCCAATTTTCATGATATGGCGACAACACTTCTTTTGCCATGTTAATCAGTGTTGTCCAACCGCTTAAAGAGTGGACGCTGTCACAAGGAGCCCCAGGACAGCAGCAACACCAGGTGCGGCCCATGATCTGACGGACGACGTCAGGACTGGGGCAGTGGTCGTTGTGGTCGACGATGAAGGCGCAGTAGACCTTGCAGCTGTTGTGGTAGGCGAAACTGAGCCTGGGTCCACCGCAGTCGTCGAAGGTGTGGTGGCGTTCGACGGCAACGTCAACGACTTGCCGTCGGCAATCACAGTCTTGGAGATCTCGATGCACTTGAGCTCGGGCGTGCCGTCGTCGATCCCAGTCACAGTCACGCCGAACCCAGTCTTGCCACCCAAAGAACGAGCACCCTCCGCCGCAGCCCTCGTCAGCGCCGAGCCGGCGTCGCCCAGT